TGTGGACCTGTGGGTCCTGACTTCCATCGTATTTCGGCAAGCGTGCTGAATCAAAATCCTCTGGGAAATAAGCGTTCAGTATTTCACCAGTGAATGGGCTATTATTATACTGCCGCCTACTGTATTTCCTCCTGTACCCACCGGGTTCCACACGTCCTCTGGTGGTTTAAGCATTTTGGTTGAGGTATGTACCATCCTGGTTTCTCTGCCCGTTTGCTGCTGTCGAAGCATTCTGGGTCAAAGTTTGCACAACAACATTCTGATCACCCATTCCAAGGTTCTCCGGGTTCGGACCCAACGTGCTCCCAGGATTGGGCCTTCCATTGTTTCTCGGGTTTGTACCCGACATGATTCCCGGATTATGCCTTCCTTGGTTTTCTATCTGATTAACTCGGTTTTGATGGTCCGAGTTGTTGTTCTCTTCTCGGCCATTAGCATCTTGGCCTGGGGCTTCTCTCACTCCAGGCTCTGTCATCAAATGCTGCTCCAGCTCCTGCATTTTCCTGGTATTTTCTTGCATTCTCTGGAAATCTTGCCGCTGGAGGTTGTTACGATTCTCCATCTCCTCCATTCGCCGTAAAATTGCAGCGATCGCGTTTTGAGCAAGTCTGGAATCAGGATCCGCAGGTTGGGCAACATGAGCGGCAGTATCCCCAAGATGTTGGGGAGGATTATTCATAGCTGGAGCCGCAACTCGATCACGGGGTGTTGGGGTGGAGGTTGTGTCTGACACATCCTCACTGACATGAACATGATCATAATCTGTTTCATTCTCAGGCTGGTTTTGAGGTTGATTCACCTCTTCCAAGACTGGATCCAGCAGCTGATTTTGAGAGTGTGGCTGTTGGCTATTACTCCTTGTTCGGACTGCCATTTCAGCCAGAATGATGAGAATGTCAAATTCAAAGAAGAAGTCCCCACAGACGGCGCCAATGTTTTGTCTTGGAGACAGAGATGTCCAGCCCAATAGGTTGGTATGTTGATCTTGGATCTAATGCCCACTCCAAGGTATCTATGAAGGAGATACCTTTGAGTCGAGCAAATCACTGTGCTCAACGAACTAATAACGGTTTTCACCAATGGGGTGTGTGCGCGCGCACAATGACAACATAACAGTATGAGAGAGAGTGTAACGTACTTTTAGGGTTTACCCTTTATTTATAAAGGTTACCTGTGGGTAGTATGATGTGGGCCTTTAGTACGAGGACCCAGGCCTGTTTGCTACGCTGTCGTATTAGGATTAGTATCCTTGATGGATACTATCCATAATTATACTTGATTTGAATCTTGAATTGCCCTTTACTGGGCCTGTCATGCAATGTGCCCTTTATACGAGTCCACAACACATATTTTTATGTGTGTATATTTTATTTTTTTTGAAAACAATCATGTGTGTATAATTAAACCCAATAACCATACTTATCAAAGCGTGACATAGTTAAACTTAAAGTCAGATGTTACCGCTGTTTTTTATTTGAATTTATTAAAAATGAAATCCATTTTGTGCTAAAAAAACAACTAACTCAGCTTGCTGCTAATTTGGACGTAATTACTAATTAGCATAAAATTAGGATTTTCAGGACTCCAACTCGGCATTTAACTAATATATTAAGAATTGATATTTCTTATTATCCAAAAAAATAAAATAAAATAGATATTCCTTCGTAATCCCAAATGAAAATGTAATTTGATGTACCCAAGTGTGGTGGCTCAGTTGGTAGCATGGAGACTGAGTGGTGGGAAATGACCTCGATTCAAATCCTACCAACACCATATGAGGAGGGGTATAAGTATCGTAATCCTTGGACTCGAACCCGAACTCTGGATTAGTCCCATAGGCCGCTCAAAGAGTCGAACCCGTGGAATACGAGTCGAACCAGTGGAGATACCGAGGAGTTCTGATTCACCTCAAAGAGGTAATTAGGATCAATTACCAAAAAAAAATTGTAATTTGATGTATGACTGTAACGATAACGATTGAAGTATATATTCTATGGGAAATACATCGGTTATGTTACACGAAAATTGTTTCTCCATGTTATCAAAAATAAAAATAAAAATTGTTTCTCCATTTTGTAATTTCTCGTATATTTTTGAGGCAGCAGGAAGGATGTATTTATCATTATAAAAATTTATTTTTATTAATTAATTATTAATTTTTATTAATTAATTAATAAAAATGACTCAATAATTTTCTATAAATATAATGATTAAATTGATAAAAATTAACGATGATTAAATTCATTATAAATATAATAAATTTTTGTGATAATAAATATTTCTTTCCCCGTTATTTTATGCGAGGATATATTTCTTATTTTTTTATTTTTTTGGTACATATATATTTCTTATTTTCTTGTTACAGGGATGTGATTGGGATGTTTCTAGCCTCCGACTCAGTACTTTGTATTCATTGGATGGAGAAAATCTTTAGCCTCTATCCTTATTGGCGTTACAAACTTTCATTTCCCTCCCTCCTCTATTCTGGTGATAGAATAAAGAATATTATGAATTTATAATGAATATTACAAGAACAGAATCCTGAACTCAAATGTTAATGCACTGAAATTGTTATTTAACTTTTCTTGTTTAGCATTTAAATAAGGGTTTTTAATATTTTTTGTTTTAAAAAATAAAATTAGCTGCTACCATCGGCAGACCTATTTGGTTGCCAATGTGTGCAAGTACACACATAAATTTGACTATATATTTTTTTTTATTAAAGAAGAGGTATATTTTTTAATTAATTAGGAATGTCACTCGCGAAACAATTTTAGTGGCTGCATTGCAGGAACACACGCATAGGTACTAAGAAAGAAACACATCTCATTTACTGCTTATGTTTTAGTGGTTTTATATCATTAAGTTGATTTCTATTTTTTTATGTTAAGTCAAAATTTTCTTTTCTTTTATTGTTTGAGGGTTATATCCCTCATATTATATGAACAATTTTTTTTTTTGTAATTTTAGAAAAAGACAAGTTATATAATATTAAAGAAAGTGAGATGACACATTATTCAATGAATTGGTCTTGTCTAACATAAGGGATATAAATCCTTTTTTTGTTTATATTCTTTTATTTTTTAATGTATTTAAAATTTTGTTTTAATTTTTTTCTGGAGGCACTGCTCCCAAATCTCCTCCATTTAATATTTGAACTAAATATACACACATGAATAAAACTTTCGAGCTCCGCCATTGACTGCTACAAATATAAAAGTATATTGAGAAGAAAAAAAATAAAAATAAACCGCACATATTTTTTTGATGTATATAAGGGAAGAAAAATAATTTTATCTCTAATAATAAAAAATATTAAACTCTTTAAATAAATATTTAAATATTTTAGTCAAATATGAAATGCTAATTAAATTGGGGAGATTATTGCGTGTCGCAATGAATAAAACTTCAGTATAATTAATGCACTGGAATTCAGTGTATCGATAATTTATTTATCCTAAGATATATAAGTAGATTCTGAAATTTTATAAATTTAAACAGGATTTATTTACATATTTTAAAGAGTTTATTTTTTCTGCAGTTAATGTAGATAAATTATTTACATTGAATCAAAATAACATTACTTTAGACCCCAAATCAAGATATTTTTATAATTATAATTTATTTTAAAGTTATAATAATTTTTTAATTATATTATTTTAATTTTTTAACTCAAAATAATATAATTTTGAGAATAAATATAATTTATCTATATTTACTGTGTAATCAATATATTGAATTTCGGTGCAGGGAAGATTTTTCCGCAATAGCAAGGCCAGCTGGCAGTGACAGTCAGGAAAGGATTATGGGTCAGATCCAAGTGAGGCCCTCTTTCACGTGCCATCATGCCCCTTACTCTCTCATCAAACCATGGTACGCCACGTGTACTAAATACATCTACCTTAACACGTGTGCCGTCGTTGATTGTCTAAACAGGACCACATTTGCCCTCTTTTCTTGAACCAGATCAGGTGAACGGAACCAAAATTCAAGACAACAGCCACAACGTCATTTAATTTCAATGCAAATTCTAACAATATATTCATTTAACATAATTCTTTTAATATTTTTATAAATATTAAATGGCAATGGTTTTTGTGTTGGATCCTTGGAGTATCATTTTTGAAAGGAATTTAAAATTTTAATATTAAACTTATTCCGAATAAAATTATTTTTCGTGAAAATATCTGTTATTTATCTATATAAGAAAAAGATAATAATTTTTTCAGTTACAACTTACAATGGATTAATAGTACTTTGGTTGTAAATTTTATGGTAATTTTTTTTAGAGCAGAAAATTGAGAAGCTTTTACTGAAACAAATCGCTATATTAGTCGTTTTACAATTTTAGACTTTTTTTATCCATAAATTCATTAATTATTTGACTAATTGAATTCAAGTCAGATAAGGACACAAATTCTTGCTATCAAGTTTTTAATATAACTGAACTCTCAAGGACTAAAACTCGAGGAGACCGGTTAAGCTGAAATAACAAATAACGATATACGTGCTTGATGTTACATCCTTTCATTTTTAATAACAGTCTCACTATCTATTCTATCCTTTTATAAACAAAATTCTTGTAAATGGGTGGGTCATGGGTGCTTTGATACTTTCATACACATTTAAATAGAAAAAAATATTTCTTTTTAAATGATATAATTAAGAGATGTGATCTATATTTTTTTTTGGTCCTCCTTTTCTTCCCATGATTTATTTATTTTTCTCATTTAAAATAACACAATTATATATATATATATATTAAAATAGCATATAATTAAGTTAATGAAAATAAACTCGAGAAAGAGAGAGGAGAGAGAAGATGGAACCTTATCCATAATGCAACCCACCATTTTCTTTATTTAACTTTTTTCACGGGATAGTACATAATAGCGAGAATAAAGAAAAGCAAGTAGAAAACCCTTTTATAAAAGCACATCAAAGGGCATGGATTTGAGGAACCATAACCATAAAACAACGTAGGAGAAAGAAAACCATTGACGATGCAACTAAAAAAATAGAGGAAAGAAGAAGAGAAACTTCCACTCATATTAGCATTATTATTATTAAATTCAAAAAACCTGCTGCGTATGCTTTAGAGTTTAGAATATGGCAACAAGTAAGAGCTACTTTGCCACACGAAGCCACAACTTGTTCCCTGTCTCTCAAGACAGAGACTCGACACCGTCGCTAACCATGGATTCCGATTCCGGGTTTGAATTCGACGAGTCAGATATTTACAACTCGGGCCGTGCTAACTCGCTCGAGTTCAGCAGATCCCTTCACGGCTCTTCCTCAAAGATGGTAGACTCCGGTGGTCGCGCGGCGTCGCTGCCGGTCAACATCCCCGATTGGTCAAAGATATTAGGGAACGAGTACAGAGAGAATAATAACAACCGGAGGAGGAACAGCATCGAGGACGAGGAAGAGAACGAGGGTTACGATGTTGAGAGGAGTGTGAGGTTGCCACCGCATGAGTTTCTTGCAAGGACAAGGATGGCTTCCTTCTCTGTTCACGAAGGTGTAGGAAGAACTCTCAAGGGACGAGATCTCAGCAGGGTCCGAAATGCCATTTGGGCCAAAACCGGGTTCCAAGACTGAATAGCGATCACCAAAGCTTTTTATTTTACCTTCTTCTTTATGTCACTATATATATTGGCATGGTTTTATAGTATTATTCAGTTTTGTTTTGTTTGGTCATTAAATTCATGTATATGAGGTTTCAGTTATTAATTCGAAACCTGAGGTTTGTGTTTGCTTTTAAGGAGGATGGATCTTTTGAAGCATTGTTATTTATTCAAATAGAGAATGTACGTGACGATACCTATATGCTCTCTTTCCTGTGTTATTGTTTCTGGTTAATGGTTATCTTTCATTTTTAGGATTGGATTGTGTTTGTGTTGATGTCAAAAAAATCTAAATGATGAGGGGAAGGGGATGATGGATGGGGCCATTATGGGAGCAAAACTGGAAAGTAGGCCCGCTTGTTCAATGATTGGTGGGGTTTGGTTTATGATATGGTTTTCAGTTTGGTTGTTTTGCGGTTTATTTTTGGGACCCACGCAAAAGGCTGTATCATTCTACACCACAAATACCATAACTAATTTTGATAGGCCCACACCTATAATGTTTACCATGAAAAATACAAAAAATAATTACGAATTTATATAATGTTTTAGGGAAATATGTTTATGCTACATAAAATAAAATTTCCTCATAAAACAGACAAACAGTGAATACCATAATTAATTTTGGTAGGCCTACCTATAACTTTTTCTTTTTTCTCTCTGGATGTCATCTGTTTTTTTTTTCTCTGTGTTGCATGAGACACTTTGAGTGTTTCATGCAATATAAAAAACATATTTCCAAATATTTTATGAGATATATTATATTTATAAATTTTTTGTTTATAAGTTTTTACAAACTTAATTATGTACTAAGGGTAGTACATGAATTGATTTATATACTACCTTTAATATATATTATAAAAAAAATTTATAAATATAATATTTATTATATAAAAACCTCACACTGTAAGAACACTTATTATGATTTATGAAAATATTTTCATTAATTTCCTATTCCAAAGATAAATAATTTTTTCTTAATTGAATAAGAAAAAGTAGACTTGTTACCTGATTTTAATTGGATCAAAACTTTAGACAAGTTTGATGCGCAAACCGACATAAACATTATTGGACCATGCATTGAGCGAATATCCTAATTATGCCGATTATGTATTCTTTCTTCCTTATATCTCAGGAAAAATACACACACACACACATAAAATAAATAAATAAATAAAATTAAAATCCCACCTTGGTTGCCATAAGGAGCAGGTCCTGTGGAGGCCCATCCGAACTAAAAGGGTTGGGCCACAAAAAAGCCCGGCCCGCAAATGGCTGTGCGTGAGCGTGGCGGGCTCTGAACGCGAACGTCCGTTGGATGCAACTACCGGTCAGAGTCAGCAAGGACTGGCAGGCAGCGGAGAATTTCAAAAATCCCAATCCTTACTCTCTCCGCAACTATCACTATGGCGGAGGAGGGAGAGGTAGAATCCATGGTTTCTATCGAACCCGGTTCAGTTGCCGCGTGTGTGAGGAGGACCGGTTCGGAGGTCGAAATGGATGCACCCTCCAGCCCTAGCAGTAGCGGTTACGCCGGTGAAAGAGGCAGCACCAGCGCCACCAGCGGTTCACTAATTGACCTTGAACATGAACAAATAGAGCATGACGACATGAGGATTGAGATCGATTCAATCTCAATCTCCGATTCCCACACTTCTTGGATTCCAGGGAAACGACATCTCGATGAGGTATAAACGGCATCCCTAGTAGTTTAACTTTGTTGATGCCAATGAGGCAAGAAAAACACACACACTCTCTATTAGGATGTATAGATGCATATTCTGTTTGATTAATGAATAAAGTGCAGGATGATGCTTCCATATCATGGAGGAAAAGGAAGAAGCATTTCTTCATTCTCAGTCATTCTGGCAAACCTATATATTCTAGGTTAGTGTTTAGCTTTGCCAAAACTCCTCACATTACATATTCACATGATCTTCCATTAATTACACCATTTATTGCCTTCTAGGTATGGAGATGAACACAAGCTTGCAGGGTTTTCAGCAACTTTGCAAGCAATCATTTCCTTTGTCGAGAACGGGTATCATGCTTCTTTCCCTTTCTGGTTAATTTAATGCCGCCAATGTTCTTTTACTATATTTGAATATAATTTTGCACCGCTCTCTTTGTTTTCTGTTTTCTAGGGGTGACTCTGTCAAATTGGTGAGGGCTGGAAAGCATCAGGTCTGAGATCATATGTTTTTAATCTTTTAATGATTTTATGCTTGAATAGTATGTTTTCATTTGAGCATTTCTTCGATTGAAATTATTATGTTAGGCTAAATTATATTTTAATCCTTGCTTATCTTTAAAGTATAAATGACACTTGGTGGCTATCTTTGCTTTTTCGACAGTGAGCTGCTCATCTTATGTGAGTAGTGTTTAGGAGAAAGAGGGACTTTCTACCCAAATAATGCAAATTTTCAAACTTCTTATCAAAATAATATTGCTGCTTTACCATGTCAGTGGTCTTTTTTTTTTTTTTTTTTTGAGGGGGTGGGTTGCACCACTTTTCAAAAACCTGGGAAAGAGTCTGTTTATCTGTTATATCTTGCTGCACCGATACAATGCTTCAATGTTGTAAACTCTTGGTTTTAAATTATGGTTTAGGTGGTTTTTCTTGTGAAAGGACCAATTTACTTAGTCTGCATCAGCTCCACAGAGGAACCTTATGAGTCATTAAGGGGACAGTTGGAGCTAATTTATGGTCAGGTATAACTGAGTTGTATTGTAAAAAATTCTGGATTCATTTGCTTGCTCACTATGCCTGCTTCTGTGCTTCTCAAATTACTATTGGTTCTTTTAGACATTCAAACGGTGTGATGGTTATATGATACATCCCTGTTGTTCACACATGTGCAGATGCTTGTTATACTAACAAAATCAGTAAACAGATGTTTTGAGAAGAATCCGAAGTTCGATATGACACCCTTGCTTGGTGGAACGAACATTGTCTTCTCTTCCCTAATCCACTCTTTCAGTTGGTTTGTTTCTCTGCTCTTAGCATGGCCAGTTTCCCAATATTCTATTTTATATTTTAATAATAAATATTGTTATTTGTCCGACCATTTCAGGAATCCAGCTACATTTCTTCATGCCTATACTTGTCTTCCTCTTGCATATGCAACAAGGCAAGCTGCAGGTGCTATCTTGCAAGATGTTGCTGATTCAGGTGTTTTGTTTGCAATACTGATGTGCAGGCACCAGGTTTGACACTACTTATTTTTGTGTATATAGGAGAATGTAGTTTACTCTATTTGTATCTTTTATCTACTGTATCTACTGAGCTACTTGTATATTCTGTTGTTGGCTGTTATCCACTGGAACCAAGCCTATTGGGTGCTCAATACACCTCAGTTTGTTTGTTATAGCTAGATTGGTTTGTTGGCTGTTCAGTTATGACAGTTAGGCTTCAGTTATATATTAGTTCTGATCAGGTGTGGCTGATCTCATTTTCCTTATCTTGCTCCCAGCTTGTCTAGCAAGCTTTCCTGTATACGATATATAGGTTTCTGCTTGTCTTGTGTAACTCAGGTCCAGATAATACAGAATTCTGAAATTGCTTTTCATATCTCTCTTCTTTATCACTTTTTCCCTCTGTTTCCTTTATTTCTTTTGTCTATTTATTTACTGACATAAAATAACACATTGAAGGTTTGAATGCAGGTAATTAGTCTTGTTGGTGCTCAGAAAGCTTCCCTTCATCCAGATGATATGCTGCTGCTGGCCAACTTTGTTATGTCATCAGAATCCTTCAGGCAAGTAAAGTTGTCCAGGTTTAATTTTTCAGATAGCATTAAAAAATGGTTTGATTGTATAATTTACTCTTCTTCATTCGTTAGAGATTTAGCTGATTGTTTATTTTGGTAATGGAAGTCATAACCATTCTGATGTTTTCTTTTAGAGATAATTATGGGGAAAATTTTGGGTCTGTTTGATTGTGTTCTGATTTTTTTGCTCTTAAAATTGTTTTGTAGAATAGTTATGGAAACAAGTATTTTCTGTGTTTTTTTGTTTTGAAAATTAAAAGTCAAAACACAAAACAAAAACAACTCAGATATATTCTCTAAATTTGATTCTAAAAACAAAAAAGCAGTTGCAATTTTTAATTTTTCTTTTACAAAACATGCCTTATCAAATGGATTTTTTTTTTTTTTTTGTTCTGAAAACCAAAAAGCTATTTTTAGAAACAGTATTCAAACAGGGTCTATGATTTATGAAATCTGATGTAAAAGAATTTCCAATTTAGGAACATTAAATGCCCAAATGGCTAATAATGTTCAGAGTAGCTAATATCTTACGTGTTCACCACATTTTGAAAATTAACCATGAGCTGCTAATATTTTTTAGCAACCCCCCTCTCCCCATTAAGAAGGTCTACAGTAGGAAGATTAAAAGGGAGAGTAGGGTATTAGGATATCAGGAGGTGATTATTTGTAATAACTATCCAGTAGACAGTTAGGAGTATGTGTAAATGATCCAGGTCAAGCCAGATTTTAGTCTAGATGAGCTATGCCTATGTAAATTATTTCAAGTCTGACTTGGTTTGTTAGCCTGATACAAGCCAAATTATAAGTTTGACCTGGATTGTCTTTAAAAAATACAAGGCTTGGCCCAGACTTTCAAGCCTACTAAGACTTCAAAAAATGCATTACTATCAGCTTTGAAGATATCCACCAACCAACTTATCCGAGAATTTCCCAACAATAAATAAATAAAGAGAAACAAATAAAAAAATAAATCACACACATAAACACTTGCCCAACAAACAAGAACAAGATATGTAGAAATAATATGTTATTTTTTAATGGAAAGTTTAGAAAGACGCAATTTTGTCAATGGGACAAAAAAGAGCAAAGAGTACAAAGAATGGGGACTTACTATCAGTTGCGAAAGTCTTGAGAGTCGATGGTGAGCGATGACTGGTTTGGAAGGGATGAGAGGTTGAGAAGGGGGCGTAAGAGTAGTGAAATTTGGCAAAAGAGAGAAGAGCAATAACGGTGAAGGAATTTAGGGCTAAGAAAAAATGTGTTTACCAAGTGAGAAGTGAGAAGATTACGAAAATTAAAAAATCACAAGATTTTATTTTATTAAAAAATAACAAATAAATAATAAGATATTATTTTATTGAAAAATAACAATATATTATTTTATTAAAAAATAACAAGATATTTTAAAAATAAAATAAAAAAATATTATTTATTAAAAAAATATTAGCCGGGCCTGGAGGGTTAGAGTTCAGACCTGCTAAAATAGGCCTGCACATGGAGGGAAATAAAAGGGAGAAGGGGGGAAGTCAGTTGGGCAGTAATCATTTTGAATTGAGAGAGAAGTTGGGGAGAGTTCTAGGTATCTCAAACACCTGGGTATCTGTATTCCTTTCATAATCCTCATCTTCCATCTCAGTTCTGATATCTCTTTGATGAGGGATTATTTCAATAAAACTTGTATTACTTTTCTATATTCACCAGTTCTATTATATTCCTATTAGAATTTTTTTTACCTTGGAGTTCCTAAATCCTTCTCAGAAATCTAAATTTTGTTAAAAAGTAAATTTTACGCGTAGAGTTCTGCCTAAAGTTTCCGCAACTAAGGCGTTCTGAATAATGTTCCATTATACAATGGCCATCTTTTAGATCAGGTGACAATTGGTTTGCCGCTTCATTCTCGATTAGCCCTAACATTGTGTTAATATTCAATCTTGCTCATTTCCTGTTGTTATTGAACATTCAAACAGCTAAACAATTTATATCTTTGGACTAGCAAATTGTTTTAAATGGATTTCTTTGCTTTATCATACTATACTGCATTTTCATACTCTATTACTTGGGCTGTACCTATGCAGGACGTCAGAATCATTTTCTCCAGTTTGCTTACCAAGATATAATCCTTCAGCATTTTTGTATGCTTATATCCATTATTTTGATGTGAGTCAGATTTTAATACATAGATCATTGGTACATTTGTTATATTTTATACATTAGAACATTAATGACAGAGCTTTATATATATATATGTCTGTGGCAGGCTGACACATACTTGATGTTGCTAACCACTAGTTCAGATGCATTTTATCATCTTAAGGATTGCAGGTATATGTTGGTTTATAATGCAACCATGCTATTGTTGAAGGTAGTCTATACCTTAACTTTACAAAGAGATCTTATGTCTCTGTAGCAATTATCTTTCTTTTGCATGGTTCAGAAATTTGCATGCCAATTTGTAGGATTCGTATTGAAGTGGTCCTTTTGAAGTCAAACGTCCTTAGTGAAGTTCAGAGGTCCTTGCTAGATGGGGGGATGCATGTCGAGGATCTGCCACCAATACCTCATTCTGGATCATCTCATTTGGGCCAGAACATGCTTCCATCAGATTCTCCTGAAAGATTTAGGGAACCTAATTCTGGAATTGGGGGTCCAGCTGGGTTGTGGCATTTCATATACCGCAGTATATATCTGGATCAATATGTCTCTTCTGAGTTCTCGTCATCGATTAATACTCCTCAGCTGCACAAAAGGTTTAAATGTTATCGCAACTTGTTCAATTTTTATGCCTTTCGATGTCATGGGTTTTTTCTTTCTTTCTGTTTTTTCTTTTTCATTATGCATTCCAGTTCTTGTCCGAACTATAACTTGTCTTCATTGTTGCAGACTGTATAGAGCTTACCAGAAACTTTTTGCATCCATGCATGATCAAGGAATTGGGCCTCACAAAACTCAATTTAGAAGAGATGAAAACTATGGTAATAAATAGTGGTTCATACCTCAAAGTATGTTTAGTTTTCTGTATGAAATGTTTGTCTTCACTATACATCATCATTTTGTACTGCGTGTCAATTTGGTAGAAAAATTATGCATGGGTATGGAAATGGCATAATTCTTTTTGTCATTGGGTTTTGTGAAACCCACATTCAGCAGGAAGTTAGGTTTTCTTTCCTTTGGCCCTACGTCTGTTGATCAAAGTGCATTCAGACACACATGGATCCAGATTTTAAAAAAATTGTCCTCATTTATAATATTTTAGTTTTATATCTTTTTGGTAATTTTACTTGACACTCTACCAAAAAAAAAAAAAACTATTAGAAATTTACTTTTGTTGAATATTCTCAAACATAAAATTCGTTCTTCCAAAATTAATTCTTTCAAAATACATTCTACTCAAAAGTGGTTATGCAGTGGTCATCCAAACATCCATACTTATCGTCATATATCCAAGGTATGCATATTTATAATATTTTGAGTCTGCAGTTATGAGCAGATGCAACTCTTTGATTCAATTTAATGAACTTTCTCTCTTTTCTTGTATATGGGGGAATGGGGGGTGGAGGGTATAAGTTCATGTCTTAATTTGTGGCTTTGTTCTTAATTTTAAGCCTGGATGATTATTTTAGAAAGAGTTATTATTCAATGGAAAGGTTGAGCTTGTTCACCATGAGGTGATTTTTTAGATTTATGCCAATGAAATACAAACTAATTGAACTCCGATGAAATTACTAGGATCTTTTTTTTGTGGCAGTTCTTCTCTGTTGGATGACACAGGATTTTGAGCTTTATGCTGCCTTTGATCCCCTTGCAGACAAGGTACAACTTTTACCTTCTTTACAATGTATCTTCATTATCTTCTTATCTTCTGTTAACATTGTGAATGTCCCATCTCATATATTATCTTATCAGTGCCTAGGTGTAGATTCATAATTTAACTTCCCATGAAGACCTGATACTAAAAATATTACAAGTTTGAAACCGCACTGTGTTTCTTATGCATGTTTCAGATTACAATAATATCGTTCTTGGTTTTTGTTTTTTAAATCATTAGAATTGCTGTAGTTGCTATTTTTTTCTTTTTCTTTTTTTGAAAGAATCTCTTTGGTCCATTTGTTTGGGAAAAGAGTAAAAAGAGCAGGTGAAGGGGGAAGAAACAAATTAGTGAAATTGAAGCTCTACTTTCTTGGAAAAACCATTTTGTGTATTACTTAGAAATAAGAGAAAGACGGAGAGGGGAGCTATATTAAAGTAGTAGTCAATGGTCAAATTTTACAAATTGCATTTATATTTTTTGCCACTCTGGTAGGATAAGTTCTCAAATGTTTTTGCACAACGAGTATATGCAGGCCTTGGCAATAAAGACTTGCAACCGTGTTTGTCAATGGGTAAAAGATGTGGAAAATGAAATATTTTTGCTCGGAGCTAGCCCCTTTTCATGGTGATTTCCTTGCAAATATTGTAAACATGTACGATGAATTTTTGTTTTATAGAATTCCTATAGATTTTTTTTTTTTCAATATTCCTTTAGTTTATTTTATTTTATATTAGAAAAAGGAACCTTGGATGAAAGATTTTTATATTATCATTTTGTGAAGTGTCAGGCCCAAAAGGTTTCATTCTTTTGTCATCATGAGTTGGCTATTACATCAACTAACGATGTTGTATAACTGATTTTTGCGCTTCTAATAATATGGCAGCCTGTGTTTGGAGGAGCCAGTTGTAACCGATTTTGTATACTTTGTATTTGAATAGAGCTTGAAAACTTAATTTTGAATACTTTTAATTTTACAAAACTGTTTTTCATCAAAAGTTAAGTTTCAAATAAAGTGATTCATGTTTGAATTTTTTTTTTTTTTATCTAAATTGATTTAGGTATAATTCTTAAAACTTTTAAATGTTTAATTGTCAAAAAGAATATTTTGTGTAATTACCAAATTCACTTGAAATTGTGTTGCATTATATTCAATTTTTTAGTTATGAAATTTAAGCTTTTATTAAAACCCAAATTTAAAGATAAAATCATGATAGAGGCATTGAACCTGAATTTCATCAAACATAAATTTTGTGCATAAAATCATGTTTGATATGATGTGATTTAAATGAAAATTTGGCTGCATATACGAATGACTACGTGTATGCCAAGCTTGTATGCAATGCAGGTTAATTAAACTCAATTCCATCCTTATGTGCTTTATGGATCCAAATCCAAAATAAGTTTTTTCTTCTGATATGCCACTTGTCTCGTTAATAGAAATAGTCCCCAGAGCAAGGCAGTTAAAAGGAGCGAAAAATTTACAATACTCCCGTCGCAATATTGACTCCGTGTGACTGGCATATTAAAATGGGATATTTTTTGTGACGTGTGTAGTATAAAAAAGAGAAAAAAAAAAAAATCAGTGTCAATTTTTTAATGAAAGTCGTAAGTACACCAAATGTATCGAAAATGCTCTTTTAAGGGGGAAATAGTAACTTAAATGTCATATTTTTTGAATTTTTTTTCAAATGTCACACGAACAATATTTTTTATCAGTCTGTCATGTGTCCAAACTCGTTACGACTGGGAGTAAGTTTGGTTACGCCATGTGGAACGTTCCCATTAGCATACCAAATTTGTTATCAAGGGTAGCAAGTTTAGTAACTTATAATTTTGTGACATGTGGCACACTTTTGCAAGTAAAAGGCTGACTGCTTTGACCAATAAACTTGCTACCACTAGTAGGAGTTTGATATGCTAATGAGAAAGTGTCACGTGATCTAACCAAACTTGCTAGCGGTCATAGTGAATTTAGACGCATGACAATCTGATAAAAAAAAATTATTCGCATAGCATTTAAGCAAATTTTTTTTAAAAAAACATGGCAATTTGGTCAATGTCTCGATCAACCCAACCCGTAAGATAAGCCGAAGAGATAGTTGGAGTTAAACATTAATATCAACAATACATTATCTCAAATTATTTCAGATCGGGTGGTCGATGAACAATTAATTGGGGTTAAAAAAACTAGCATTTTATTAGTCGATTTATTTAAGAGCAGCATGTTGTTTATTCTCATTTAAGGGTAGCTTAGCCCATTCATTTTCATCATCCAATAACACTTGTTAAATGGCAAGACTGGGAATTTGGGATGCACGATTTCATGCAAATATTCATCTACAACTACTGCAAAAAATAAGAATACAAAATCCATTGGAAACAACTAGTCAGGGTCCCCATAAATTTACACCCGTATATGTGATAATTCATCCATAATAATAGGAATCATATACAATAAGTAACCAAACAAACATATTGCCTATGGTTAGAATAAAAAAAAGTCCACAAAGTCGTGTGTTAAGGCCAATTATAAAAATATAAGCCGGCCTCTTAAATAGCCCAGATAACGCAGTTTATGAAGCAACGTTATTCTGGGCATTTTTGTTTGCTGGCTGCAAATACAATTCAATTTCAATTACGTGCTTCATTAATTGTCTTAGGTTTTCCACGCAATTGATATGTTGCAGTCTGAATATCTAGGTAGTAGAGTACATGGAGTGAATGTGGGATTTGTGACCAAACTGCCACATTTTATCAAATTTTTTATTCAAATGTCACGTGAATAGTATTTTTTACCAGACTGTCACGTGTCATAATTTGCTACCACTTGTAGCGAATTTCGTGACATGTGGCCATATTGCAGACCAAATTCGCTATCAGTGGTAGCAAATTATGACACGTCAACTTTTTCCTGCGAAAGTGGGCCATATGTCATAAAATTATTTTTTTTGGAAATATATGTCATAAAATTATTGGCGAACATAATATGCTACCAATCGTAGCAAATTATGCTTATATGACAGTCTGATAAAAAATATTGTTCGCATGACATTTGGATAAATTTTTTGCCAAAAGGTGACATTTTGGTCATTGTTCCGTGAACGTGGGTGTGTGAGAGAGAACACGAGTATTTCCCCACATAAAAATTTAATATGGTCTGGGACTTTGGTGATCCGTTCACTAATAGTATAACACTTGGATTAAATTTTTTTTTTCTTTCTCCTCAGTCTCTTCTCTGTTTCTTTCTCCCCTGTCCCACCAATTGAAAAGTGCTTCGGGAGTATTAAATTCTTTTTCTTTCGGCACAACTAGACTAACGAAAAAATAGGGACATAGAAGAAAATAACTATTAAAATAATAATAATGTAAATGTGTTACTTTTTTTTTATATCTGGTAAAAGATATACCATGTGATTGGTACATTCATAGTACTAAAAATATTTTAGAGCTACACGAACACGCAATCAATGTACTTCTATTAAACCTTCTCATCAGTCCCTCGACTCCCTCCATATCTTCAGAGAATTTTCCCATGCCAAAAGTTGCAATACGTGTGTTATTCTAACGTGAATGGGTTGATATTGATATTGAGTTCTCTCCATCAAACTCATTGCAACTGCTAAACAACGGAAAGGAGGAGGACGAGAAGAAAGGTTAAGATCACTAATATTATGTTATTTAGTATATATTTTGATTTTATGTTTATAATGTTTTGACTATTTTTTTTAAATTAAATATTTTTAGTTTTATGTAGTATTAAATTTTGTATAAGACGCTTAATCTTAATGTTTAATAACCTTCGTATCTTATTCATTATCGCAAAGACGACATACGCTTGCCTAAGTTTATCTTAAACTAATAACTGATTATTTTTGTCATTTTTGCAGCATACTGTCAGCGTAGGCATAAATCCATACAATGTCCTCAACTCCCGACTATAATTACTGTGTAAATGATATAAACTATTAAAAAGACTTTCAGTTAATATCTTAAGATTTTAGATTGAAATGATTCTTTACATAATATTAGAGCTACGATGAGAGCTCTAGTATCGCAGTCATCATTTCTTTCGTTTATTGAATCTTTTCTTCCTCCTCTTGCGTGAATATTCATTTTGTCATTCTCATGAGTTCCTTTGTTCATAATATAGGCAACGACAACAGAGAATAACACAGTAAAATGAAATTATTTATTAAATAAATCTACTCAAGTGCTTGATTCAGTAAACTCCTTCCTGTTTTCATCTTTATCAAAGAAAGTAGTTATAGAATTAGATATGAAGAAGTTATAAAATTAGTTAGGTGTTTGGAGTCGTAAAAAATGGGCGTAGCTTAAATAGGGAGGGGGATAAAGGAGAGGCATTAATTTGAGTTGTTATCATTTGGAAACTGGGCATTTGAAATGGGGAGTTCTTGGGTGTGAATTCTCTAGTTTGTTCTTTGGTTGAAATTCAAAATTATTGATATGTTGTTACGATGGCAATGAGTCTATCGCCTTTCGCGGGAAAAAACATGTCAATATAACAGTGATTTGCAATTTAGAGGTATAAACCTAAATCAATAAAGAGTCATCGTGAATATATCTTAGACGAAGGCCGAGAATCGTGAAGAAGGTGTAAGGCACAATAGCCCTGAGAGGTAGTATTTTGCTACGTAACAACATTGAAATAAATATGCAAAAAATATCTCTTCAATAGCAGAAGATGGACATATATAGGTGGAGAAAATTCTCCAGCAATAAGTGAGAGAAAATCATAATCATTTTGCTCATATGAATCCCACTAAATATAAGGCAAGTAAGATAAAATATGGTACCAAATGATTGGTTTGCTTCATTAAATCAGTTGCCTTTAAATAGGCTTAGAATAAATACAAGTAATTAGCAAAACTTGAAAAGAAACTAACTAACTAATCGCCTAAAGCTGTACGTGAAAATAGGCTAACAGCATGCTAACAATATCAACAACTATGCTAACAAGCTATCAAATAGGAAACTACTAGGATTACAAGGAAACAAAATATATTTACATGCTAACTGCATATATTCTTCCAACTCTCCCCCTCAAGTTGGAGCATATAAGAATGAAATGCCTAACTTGGGAAGGAATGCAAGAAATACAGATTGTCCCAAAGCTTTGGTGAAAAGATCTGCCAGCTGAGCGGAGGAGCGAACATGTAAAGTAGCAATGGTGTTCTCCTGAATGTGTTCTCGAACGAAATGGCAGTCGAGTTCAATGTGTTTCGTTCGCTCATGAAAAACGGGGTTAGCAGCAATATGAAGAGCTACTGTATTATCACAAAATAAATGCATGGATGTTGAGTGATTTACACCAAGAGACGCAAGGAATCCCTTTAACCAAATTAACTCTGCTGTAGCAGCTGCCATAGCTCTATACTCAGCTTCAGCAGAAGAACGTGCAACTGTGACCTGCTTCTTTGTTCTCCATGAAATAGGTGATGTGCCCAACATAACAAAATAACCAGTAACAGATCGTCTTGTAAGAGGACAAGAGGCCCAATCGGAATCACAATAGGCATGAATGCGGAGATCACATGCGCTTTTTAATAGAAGTCCTTGACCAGGATTTTGTTTCACATATCTTAACACTCGTAGGACTGCATCGTAGTGACATTGTTTTGGATGCTGCATAAATTGAGAAAGGACATGTATAGCATAACTCAAATCTGGTCTTGTAATATTTAAATAAATCAATTTGCCAATCAGTCTCCTATATCTCTCAGGATTTTCGATATCTGGACCATCAACAAGACCAAGTCTATGATTTTGTTCAATAGGAGATACAACTGGTTTGCTTCCACTAAGACCTGCTTCATGTAAAATATCAAGAGCATATTTCCGTTGACACAAAAAT